GCACATTTTGTGCCTTGGGGATGTTATGATGTCGTGCCAGGCCTTCACCATTATTTCAGGCCACGCCACTGAAACAGACGCTTTGCTTGGGTCTATAGTTGTTTGTTTAAAGGCTTTTATCGTGTTTGACATCAATTAATCTGTGCCTCCCCTCCTGGGAGTTTCTCTAGCATGCAGTGTATTGCATATTATGTACATTTGTATTCATGCATGATATTATAATAATAACTTTTTTTGGCAGAAACCCAGCAGTTTTGTGTAGGGAGATACAATTTGCAGGGTATACTGTATTGTAACAATGAATATGCGGATTATACAGTTTTGACAGATGCAATTGCAGTTTGTTCACAGACGATTTGGCCTCTTTGCATATCTAACCATAGTCTCATGTTACTTTGAAATTTAGCTCAAAGTGTGGGGGTTGAGCAACATTATACTGCTGACAACTGCTGCTGACTGCCCATTAACTGCCTAAAAAATATGACCAACATTTTTAGTGTTTCTAACTGTTGCTGCAGAAGTTGAGGCAGTTACGTAATTTTTGTCCCTGCCAGTATGATACTCAAATCAAGCAAACTTGGAGACCAGGATGGGCATCATCTCAAAAACTTTGTTTAGATCTGTTCTCACTTTGAGAGTTAAGGGTCTTTCTCTGTTGAGCAGTGACAAGACAGCTACAACAAATCTACTTTGATTGTGAAACAAAAACATTTCCAAAACAAACTAATCTAATTTTTCAGTTGGGGGAATTCCACACTTAGGGCACATGATGGCATCTACCCCAGCCCTATTTGCTGAAGAAGACCATAAGGGAGAGGTCTGAAAGCTACAAAAATTGGTAGTAAGTAGACATTTGAGTTCAGATTATTCTGCTTCCCAAAGGTCAAGAATGCTCAAATGACGGTGCATGTTCAGTGCCCAAAGTTTAACATGGTGGTGAACTCCTGTTGAGGACTTTATGTGTATTAAACCAGATCTGCTGAACTTCAGACTTTCTGGTTTGGCAGTTCACATCATTTAACGTGAATATTAATGAATTTGACATAGGCCCATTAACATACCATGAATGATAATCATGTGAATTTAGGATACTCATTACATATGTATTAAATGAATAGCAGGTGGGGTAATTTGAGTAATTTGTGGCTATATGCAGACGCTTAGATGATGGACGGTGTCTGGAGAAGACAAGCTGAGCTGGCCAGTGGATCTACTGCAGAGTAAGGAGAATTTAGGCTCATCATAAAAGATTTCTCCTTGCCTCTTATTTCACTTGGACATTTTTATGTTTTTTTTATTTTCTACCTCATTGCAGCCGTGAGCTGCCTGCTGATTTACACACACTGGCAGCGAAGCACAGAGGCCTCAAGAGACGGTGCCCTCTACCCCTCCATTTTTTTTCCTTCCTCTTGTTTCTCCACCCTCTGTCGTCCTCTTACTGCCACCACCAGCCATCTCTCCATTCACTGAACTGGATCTGACCAAAGAGCTCCCCCTGTACTCGTTCTTCATCTCTAACAAGACATTAGTCTGGAGGGGTTGTTATTCACACATGATCTTGTGACACACCAAGGGGCCCTTCCCCTGTGCCAGGACACAAATTCATATAAGGATGAGCAAAAGGCATCATGGACACTAAAGGTATCTTACAACACTCATATTTCATTTCAGAGTTCCTAAACTATCATCTGAGCTCATTACAGCCAAGACTCTTGTTTGTAAAATGTGTACACTCCTTTTCTATAAAGAAATGTGCTTTAGTGTGGATTAATGGATATTTGTGGATATGCACAGTAAGTACAGACATGTTATCTTAACACAAGGCCCTTCCCTCTCATCCATCTGTTTACTGCAGCACGCTCCAGAGGGAACATGTCTGATTTTACACACCGTATTATTTCAGGAAATTATGAAGCAGTGATCTCAACTTCCTTTCCCCCCTCCCTCAGGCCCATGTGTTCCAGGCACAGGAGCTGCTTTCACGCTGATCAGCCCAGATTCCAGGAGAAGAGAAGCTGTTGCTCGCCCTGCTACGGTGATCACTCCCCTTTCCCAGTTAATTGCTACATCCGTGCACCAAGAAGCGACAGCATGTGGAGGGGAAATAGCAGGTATAAGCCATGCAGAACTGACGAGAGGTACCTGGGCTGTTGGGTTTGATAAATGATGGATAGCTGTTAATTCAGCTCATTTCCATCTGTGACAAGAGAGTGACAGAGAAAAATGTTTCAGCCTTGAGAAAAAGTATTTTTCACCAGATTGAAGCAGGTGTGAGGATATGTTTGACTTTTGAGCACACGCACACACACGGCTACAAGGACAGATGTAACATCTGAAAAATCCCTTTTTGGCTGTGAGGTTGTGGAATTTTTGTGGCCCTCAGTAAATCAGCGCTCAGTATCGGCATGAAATGTGGGAGACCTTGAAAAATGCTCAGAGTCAAGGCGTATGTTATTAACAATTCAATTAATCCCAGACTTCCAGATCATTTACCTTGCTCCCTCATCTGCCCTATAGTGAATGTGATTGTTTTGCTTTATAACAAGCCGCACATCAGTGTCACCGGTCTGTGCTGTTATCATATGACTGTTGTTGATGTATAACTCTAACATCACTCCTTTAGGTCTCATCCCGTATCTATTGGCAGTGCAGCTGGGCTTTTCTGATATCGACTCATCCTGGTTCCACAGAGTTGCAGTCGCAGAGATTTAATATCTCAAGTGGTGCTGAACTCCTCTAGCTACTAATGGATTCTGTATAATGTGGCACTTAAAATGCATTAGCCGCCTCTGATTTATCTGTAATTTGCCTCCACTGGAGCATATCTCCCTCAATACTTCCATTTGTTTTTGGCTCAGCAGAAGAACCCTGATTGGGATTTCATATTATTACATTTCAGTTTGACAATTTGGTTCTTTCCACCACATAAAGTGTATTTTTGCTTTTGATGATTCTGTGTTAATTACACAACAGAGGGAATCATAAGTCAAGCATGAGATCACAGACATGAGGTTGGGTTTATTTGAGCTGTCGTGGCAGAAATACATGCTGACTTGGTGTGAGGCAGATGGGTATCTCCCAGAGGGGCTATCTTCCTTTATCTTATCTTCTACTGTTTTATGTGTCAAACAATAAGCATACTAATTAGCTTTAACTGAGATAAAGCATTTGTGGAAATCATTGTTTTTCCACTACTTTTCTGGTTGTCCGGCAAAATTTCATCCTGGAATCTGAGTGATTTTACTTGCTCCCAGTGTTTTCACTCCATTTGACATCTTTGGGGTCACACAACATGGAGCAGAGAGCTGTTAGCCAATCGATCTGATGGGTTTAAATGTGTCAGTGTTGTCATGGCAGCAGAGCCGTACTGACAGGCTAGGCTACAGCAGCTCAAGGTTAACAGCCAGTGGACCAGAGTCACAGACCATTAAAAGAGGAGTCAATACTGCTGGACAAAAACCAGCAATGTAAACATTTTAGTCCACAGGACTGTAAGCAGCAAACAACACTTAACTGTTACAGAGACCTCTTAACAAATGCTAAGCCATAATGCTGAAACATTATCTTTAACAGACATAACCGTTAGTCTCAAAGCCCAACAAGATTACTCTCTGCAGCCTGTCCAGTTTTAGCATTTCAACTTAATAATAGTCAAGTGTTAACATAGGCTATTAAGTTTTAAATGGTGGAATCGTGATATAAAATGCCCACAGTACATTTTTTGCATCAACATGTGTCTGTCAAGGTGACAGTGAGGTAGACAGTGTAGATAGATAGAAAGATACTTTATCCCCTTGGTATACACGATATATATAAGAGATATAAACAATATCACTGTAGTGAAATATAGAAGTTTGGACTGAATAGATCAATTTTGAGTTGCTGCTTTCATGACACAACAGACTGCTAAAATGATCCATCTGAGAATGTTTTATAGAGGAGGAGAAATTGTTAGAACAGAGTTTCCTTGTGCACACATTTGTGTAAAAGTAGCCTTCACTTCAACACCTCTGGTGTATTTTCTGAATGTATTCGAGGTATAAACCCTTCTGAACATCTACCCAAAGCAAACATCTGTAGCACTGACAGCCTCAGTACATGTGAAGGTGCAGGGTAATGCTGCCCCACATTGTTAAGCGCTGACAAAGAAGACATATGCATTTACTGCATTAACATATGAGGATGCGCATGAGCTCACACAGCCTATACACCCACACATCCTCAGGAAAGATGTTCCCCCACCCCACCCCCCACCCCTCCAGTCTGAGTTTGTGGGCTTTCCTACTGTCCAAATTGTTCTGCTGCTTAGAGCAGAGCAGGTCTAAGGTGACATCATCTCCCTGCCCCCCCCCCTCCAAATAACAGAAGCCTTTTGTCTGTTCCTGTTCTGAATTTATAATGAATATCACGACGGCTGCAGAGAGACAAAGCTAATCTAATTAGCTGTGCAGATATGTGACTTTGCCGTCGCTCTGTTTTGTGGTCATTACCTCTTGCTGCTCACTGAGGGAGCACGTGTGTGTGTTCACAAAGCACACACACACACACACACACACACACACACACACACACACACACACATGCACACCCTCACAGAGATATGCGACTGTGGTGAAAAGGCTCGTACAAAAGCCAAAGTGACAGATAGAAAAGGTGGCTTGTCAGTGCAGCTGGCATTTTGCTCAACAGGGAGCAATGTAGCCCGTCTACCTGGTAGCCCTCTCAGACAGGAGCGAGTGCATTGGCATCCCACAGGACTCCCTTCCAACCACACACCTGACAAGGGGGCTGTCTGGAAACTCTGCAGAGACCCTATTACACATGTCATACTGCTAAGCACTGCAGTGGCCACCGGATGACAAGCTCGCCACACCTCACACTTTATTAAGAGGGGACGTTCAGCCACAGAGAGACATTACGCTGTCACTGCTTAAGATATCACATTGTTATCTGCACATATCTGTCCAATTTCACGTTATAAATGACCAAAATTCACAATGCTTGGTTGAGTGTGTTTATCAAGTAAATATAGACAGTTACAGCAGATACAAACAGATGGATGTAACAACACTGCCATCTTCAGGCAAATTGTTGCTACCACTTTATAGGTGTGCAGACAGAACATACTGGTAAACAACACTTTATGGACTGGTACATTTTTCTTATAATTTAGTGTACATGTTTCAAACTGAAATGGCTAAATGATAATGATAATAATTAGGAGCAAATGTGCAGTATTGGGGGGGTAACAGGCAACTTTCCTCTTCACACCTTACATCCTGTACAAAAGGTTGTTCAGGATGCAAGTGCATAGACAAAAAATATGAAGATATTCTCATGTAGAACCAGATGAGCAGCTGAGGGTTTCCTCCTGGCTGGTTCCTATGAGATCAAGCGAAGCTGTACTCTCTGCTTTGTTTATTGCCAAATCTTTAATCTGAGGCTCTGAGCTGGAACAGCAAAGAGAAAATAGGGTATGGGAAGTAAATTCAGTGTTAAAATTTAGGCAATGAGGCAGAAGGAGTGAAGGGAGACTTCAAAGTGTGACATTACAGTACCTGTCTGAATTAAAGTCACAGGTGCAGCACATGCTGAGGTCCTTCTGCAGATCTTCCTCAGAGTTAAATCTTCTCAGGCCGCAGCGCTGGACCGCCTGGACCACAGAGTAGTGAGTCCTTCCAGCAGCACAGGCCTCTATCTTGGACACGCTGAGCTCTGATTGCAAGAAAAGGTGCAAGCAGCTGTCGGACAGCAGCAGAGGGCTCTGGAGGATCCTGGAGAATTGGCACAATAAACAAGTTAAAGTTACTGTAAGCAGTAAACTATATTGTTTCCTGATGTGAATACAGCAGTCATGTGGCCTGGTGTTTATGGAAACTGATTCACCAGTTTTGTTATGTTTCTCTTGTAGTATATCAAAGTTCACAAGTGTATTGATCCGTGAGGTCACTCTTACTGTTCCAAAAACTTCTGGAGCCCTTTCATCCGCTCAGTGATCTGTTGCGCATTGTTCAGGCTGAAGAAGGGATTTTTGGGGGGCAGCTCTGGTAGCTGTACCCTGCAAAAGACACAAATACTATTAAAATGACAGGAACCGTTGAGCAGATTAATTCTACCGTGAGAGTTTAAAGTAGATGTGTTCTATTGTTTTCTCTCAGAGTCATTTTTAGAATACTTACATCAGCATTGAATTTGCTTGTAGTTTTTGCCTGAGCCATACGAACTCACTGTACCTCCTTCTCACACTTGAGATCTTCTTGTTGAAGCACACGCTGTCAGTCTGAAACAGAACACAAGTGTGACACTCATATTACAGTCAGATCCACTATTTGACTGTAGAGATTAAGACAACTTCCGTTTATCATTTTACTTACATGTAAACAAATCTCATAGTCTATGTAGGCATGCCAAAAGTCATTCTTTTGTATCCGCGGGTCCCGCACCCAGACACTGATGACCTGCTGCATGGAGGAGGCAGGAAAGACTGAAACACTGAACTGAATGCACTATTATGACAAAGGGGAAGTTTTTATTGGTAGATAGAGGAAGTTCTATGACCAACACAAAATGAACTAGAATAGGAAAATCCCACCAAATATCCTGCATTGCTCAGGATTAAAACAGAAGTTGATTGTTATTTAAGCCGTTATCAGAATTTAAAGCTTCTGAGCGCAACATGTGGCATTTAACATATCTACTTTTTATGACATATCAATTTTTTTCTTTAAATATCAGATATACAGCATAACTGCAGAACCTACCTGACTCACAAAGTTGTCAATTTCTTCTCTCATAATGTAAATTTCCTTAAGTTTGAATCTCAATAGCGTAAAGTCAGCCAGGTAGTGCTGCGCTTAGCATTGAGCCAGTGCTTTTTATTTCCAGTTTTATTGTCCAGGAGCAAAGGTTTCAAAATAAAGTCACAAGACTGAGATTAGCTCCTCCCCACTTTGAAATCAGCAAATACCAACCTGGAACTGATCATTTCTTTCAGTGATGTTCCCACCTCATGATTTAACATGTGAAAAAAGTAAAAATAAAGGAATCAATAGTCAAGTATCACAAAAGGTTTCCTTTATTCACAGAGACTTCACAGATCCATGGTCAACAGTTACAGTAGTTCAGTAGCAGGTGTGTTTAAGGAGGTTGACGGTTCAGCTGAGTGTCCCATAACGGTCATGGGAGATATGTTGAGTCAGGACAGTGCCATCAGGATACAGATATCATGTACATAAGCCTGTATAATTATTGGAAGACAATGCCCTCCATAATGGACAGTCTCATATTTAAAGTGCTACATTTAGCCATTGTTAGATGCACAAACATTATTTTTTCAATGTACGTAAATCTTAATTGATTTACTTAATACATTATGATCTATTGAGTAATTCTGCCAGGACTTCACTTTGTTTAAAAGCAACAAATAATTCTTTTAAAAAATTGTTATAATTCAATACAGATGAGAACATTTGGTACATAGCAGCTGATTGGGGAAATTTATGGTGGGCAACATTTTAAAATACTTTACATCAACTGCAAGGGTCACACAGAGAAACAACCCACACAACACAGATTCAAACAACAAATGTTCAAACAATATGTCTACAATCTTCAGCTCTAACTGAAAACTAGATGGACTGGAGGTACAGATTGGACAGCAGTCTGTCCTACACAGTGTCGCTATACAAGATATAAAGCACACACTAAACAACCAAAGACCTCCCCCAGTGGAAGATCCTTGTGGCTAAACAGGACTATATATAACCAACTACTATATACCAACACATTTTAGAAACAAAACATGTCCACAGTGATTGTGTCAGCTACATGACACAAAACCAAAGCTGCTACAGGTTAGTCTGACCTCAAATCAGCTGCGCCACATAAAGGTTAGTTTTAATTTCCATCGCAGTCTCTGCAAAGGCACAGTGACCTTTATTGAGCACCACGGGACTGAGAGCCCTTAAAATCCATCTCCGCTGAGGTTCTTGCACCTGCCAGAGTCTGAAGCTCCACCTGCAGCGGGATGTAATTTCACAGTGTGCCTCTAATGTCAGCTGAAGGAGGAAACTCGATGGAGGTTAAACTAAGCTTCAGGTGAGAGCGCAGCTGTTTACCAGTTTTTCTCCGTACATACATACATACACGCACACACACACACACACACACTTCACTGCTCCTCGTCTCCACAGTGCCAGGTCAGCTTCTGCTCATAGAAGTCGATGACCACCTGGGGACACCTGGCGCTCGCTTCACGGGCAGGCAGTAGGGCCACGTCATCAGAGTTCTTCCTGTGGGGAAACAAAGAGCAGAAGGAAAACATTAAAAAGGCTGCCGCAACTTTTAATGTATGTAGGATGTTTCAGCGGCAACCCACACTCCTGCCAGTTTAATCATCACAGTTATTCTGACGTAAAGGGGTAATTCAGCTATTTAGTACTCCATTTCCATCAAGTCTGGGGATTCACAATAGCAGCAGAGGACAGTTTCTATTGGCTTTTAGCCCCTTGTATGGATCAAGCTCCCAAGCACTAGATCTTAGACTTCCCATAATGCATCTTTTTAATAGTGGGCATTCAGACTAAGAACAGCCATGTGTTTAAAAAAAAAAAAAAAAGGCAAAGGGCTGTGTTGGTGGGGGCATGTTGCTTTAGGTACCAGTTGAGTAACAGATCCACAGGTTAGAAAGCTTGTCACACAGCAAAACACTGGTTTATAGTATAATGGGAGGAGTTTACAATGCAGGAAAGTTATCAAAGTGCAATCGTATTTTTCTTTACAATGAGCACCAGGTGAACAGCAGAAATACTGCTACGCACATTACAGACATTTATAAGAAATATTTGCATGCACGTATTCGATTGGCCGATGCAGCACCTCGTCAGATAACACTGCATTGCGTTACGGCAAAAGCTGAGCCTGTTTTTTTTTGCCGAATGACTGTGAGTTTTTCTTTACAGAGGACGTTTGTGCCCATTCAAATGAATGAGAAGCTGTTTCAACAGTGCTGTTGTCCGTCTGAACACGGCCTTAGACCCTCCATGCATGCTAAATGCCCGCATCTTTGTAATGCAGATGCAATGTCTGTTCAATTTTGTAGTTTCCAAATCCAGGTCGATATTACCCAAGTTGTGACGCAAGTTTTTTTTTTTTTTTTTCAGACTTCCACTAAAGATAATGTTATGACACAGACCTGTTTTTGAATGTGTTTTAGTGTGATAATATCCTTTAGCACATTTACTCCATAACCTGTTACTAATCCAGGAAATGTTTTGTCAGGTTGTCAACACCAATTTTGTCTTAACTTAGCCTCCTCAGTAAATGATATATTCAATTTTATACCAACAACAAGAAGACGTAACACCCTCATAAATCTGATGCTTCATCATCTCTGCTATAGTTTGAACATGTGGATTGTAAAACAAGTGTGGCTTTTACCATCAGGCAAACATTTACCCAACCACTGGCATTCATTCAAGGACAGAAAAAGGGAAGCGGTGGAGTTACCATTTGACGAGGAACATGAGCTCTCCCTGTCTGTCTGTGGAGCCGATGATGCATTCAGGCTCGAGGTAAGTGCTGAGGTTAGTGGGTGCATCTGACTGCTTGTCATTTGGCTCGAGGACGTTGCTGTCGCTCTGCAAAGTGTGAGTCTGCCGCTGAGACTGCATAGAGGACCGCAGAGCAAATGACAAGGACAAAGGTACAGCAGACAGCAGTTAGAAGACAAGACAGTCCATGTGTGGCATTTTCTTTAACTGTACATCATCACCATTGTGAAAAGGGGAAACTTAACTGCTTTCACTTTCAGGGGTATTGCAAAACTAAATACATTCACATGCCATTTGGTTTCATATTCACCATTAAAAATGTCAAAAAAGTAGGAATACATTCTGCCAACATGGTCAAATGCTTTTACTCTAATGCAGCTTTTACTGTAAGAGAAAAAGTTTCCTGAATTTTCTGAGTCTAACTATCAACCTAATGCAATACACTACATGAAGTGTGATCTAATAATATGTTGTTGTTTTTTTTCCTTTTTGCAGATTTAGGTGCAGACGTTCTGTAAATAACATGGAAACAACTACATTTACAGACACTCCAACGCTGCATTTCTCACATACTCACAATTTCCGTCTCTTGCTCTGTCATTTCTTCTTTGGGAACAAACTCTTGTTCAGTTTGCTCTTCCTCATTCTCTTCTGATAAATGGGTGTTTCTCAGGAACTCTTCAATGAGTTCAGGACAGTCCAGATTGTCCTCGGGTTCCCATGTGTTTTCTGCACTGTAAACATGTCAGAAGGAGGAGTACAGTACACTTTATTCATCATGCAGGAACAATAAATTATATACACTGTAACCATGCATATATATATATATATGATTCTGCAGCACCACTCACTCGGTGAAGCCTTTCCACTTCAGAAAGTACTCCACTCTTCCATTAGATATCCTGCGGCGGATTATTTTTTCAACCACAAACTCCTGGACAACTGTGGTCTCCTCGGTCTTCCGCTGTTTGGCAGTCTGCTTCTTTCTCATCCTGCCATGAAACAGAAAGCAGGAAATGAATGACAACCGGCTCGTGTTACCGTCAGGACATTCACAGGCAAATTAAAAGCATAACAGAAAGTGTCTATTTTTTGTTAAAAGTCCACACTGGCGTCTGAAATAATCACTTTCATCTCCCTGTTGCAGATATTTGCAGAACATGGCAGTGGTGAGTACTCTGCTGTGCCCTTCAGACAATGATCCATACGCTTATTATAGCGCTCCACCTGCTGTTTGTTTCCAGAGCACACACAACACACTACTCCTTCAGTAAAACGCAACACGTTAGTATCCACACACTTGTGCTGTTTACTCAGACTGTTTAGTTAAGAGTACATTGAGCAGACAGCAGCTTGTAAACATGAGTGGAAACGCGCCTGTGTGATGCACAAGACGTTGTGATGAACAATATGCACGTACGCTTTCGGTGTTTACTTAATCTCGGCGGACAGCCTGCTGCTCTGCTCTGCTCTGCTCTGCTCTGCTCTGCTCTGCTCTGCTCTGTGTGGAGCCTGTCGCTGGAAACTACATGCACACGGCGCCGTCGATTCCGCTTTGTGCGCAAATGTGTCGTTCGGCGTGTTTACATGAGCCAAACAACTTTTTCATGAATGATTTCAAATTAAAGATGGCCGTGGATGCTCGGAGGAAGTGGTTGCCAAGGGAAAAGGTCATGCCAGGAAAACCGGGAGGAGACGACGGGGACGCGCACGCCGCCGACCAATCGGAGAGGAATCCGCTCGTCCGTCCTCGTTCCAGTGGTCCGGAACAGCCCTGCCACCCATGGGCGTCAGCTGGGTATGGCAGGGGACTGCGTGCACTTGTCATATCTCAGTGACTTTAAAGACTGCTCTAGATTTTTGATGCTTTGATCTTTTGGATCGTCGTCAGTGGAAGCAAACATGGAGGCAGATATTCATTTGGAAGCTGCTACTAGAAAAAAACAAAAAACATAAAGCTCATCAGAGTGTAAACAGATTCATGTACATCCAAAAAGTAAACAAACAAACAAACTAAAACTAAAACTAAAACTAAAATTGAAACTAATCAGAAATCTAAATTTAAAAATATCATCGATATGGTCGCCTTATGATCGCATTAGGTGAATGAGCTCCGCCATCTATATTATTATATTATATATTATATATTATGTTATATATTATATCATATCATATCATATCATATCATATCATATCATATCATATCATATTATATTATATTATATTATATTCATATAAGTATGATTTTAAGGTACTTGTACTTTACTTGAGAATTTCCATTTTATGTTATTTTATACTTTTATTCAACTACATATTACTCTTTTATTTTTTTACTTAACTACATTTATTTTGTGTCTATTGTTACAATTTACCAGCTAAGGATTTCACATATGAAACACATGATCATCATAAAATACGATATATGGCTATAGGATCTATCCAACTGTATATAAGTCGTTAAAGTCATCTCCACTACGACAACATTAAAATGCGACTTGCAAAAATGCCAAAAATATAGAGACATGATGAAAGTAATTTTATGCAGAATGTTGCAATTCTGCATAAAATTACTGAAAACCTTTTCTTCTAATACTTATTACAAGTTGCTGCCAATATTTTTACTCAAGCCAATATTTTTTACTGGTAATGGAGTATTTTCATATTGGTGCTTTTATTTAAGCTAAAGATCTCTCAATACTCCCACTAGAACATGGTTTTCACGGAGAGGATCTTTTCTCCACAACCTCCTAAACCACACTGAGGAGATCGAAGAAAAACAGCCCCTGGAGGATTTGATTGACAGCTCCCTTTTAGCCAATGAGAAACCCCAAAGCTGCTGATTGGCCAAAAAAACACCACTAATAGGCCTTCCCACTTGACCAAGTTTACCTTTTTTTCCATCAGTTATTCCACACTGTTTGGTAACATACCACTGGGAGACGCTGCTCGCTTGTATTGCACTGACAGGTTCAGCAGGCCAAAAGCTCAGTGCTCCTGCTCCCCAGTTAACTACTGAGAATGGATTTATGCTGGAAAGCTCGTAGCAAAAGGCAGCAGAACAAAAGCTTTTACCAGAAGGTGGATTCACATTGGAACTGCCTCTGATGCACTGTTGTCTCTGATACCATTTCATCCTCGAGGCAGGATTATGTAACACTGAGCACATTTGTTCATGAAATGTACTTATGGAGTGGCACAGCAACATTATAAGAATGTAACACAGACACAGGGATGCCTACAGTAACTGCAGCACATGGTGATCTTTCACAGTCCTGAGAATTAATACCTCAGTTTCATTTTCAACAAGAAAACACTGGGGAGGCCCTGGGGATGTGATTAAAAGTGGTTTCAGTAGAAAGGCTTCAGTGAGACGCCTGCACAGAAGATGAATGTGGGGTGTATCGTCCTCAGAAAAGAAGCTCATTGATCACAGTCTCAGTAGGGACAGGACACAGGTCCTATGCAGGTTGCAAATCAATGTTTGGTCATTTGGACCTGCCACATATGCTCCATTTACCTCCCATGCGCAGTGGAAGGTTCAGGTATAGGTAGACAATTGTATGATCCTCAGGAACTGCAGGTTCTCTATTGATAAAGCCAAGCTGCTGTTTTCATCTGTGATTAATTATTAACACCGCGTTGAAGATGTTCTCAACAACTAAACACCATTTTCTTTCTTTGCTCACAGCAGCTCTTGCTTCAAATGGGCATCTCTTTCTACACCAACTTATAAGTCATTAGAGATGCTTTCACCTCTTCTCTTCTGACAACCATTAGTTTACTCACCTTCATTTCAGTTGCATTCTACAGCTAATATTTATATAACATTTCAGCCAAGTCCAGACAGTTTTGGTAATAAGGCATCCTTTATAAAGGGTTTACTGGTTGTCTTTGTTATTGGCTTTATATAAATATATATATTTGTATATGTATATATACATATATATAGATAAATAGATAGATAGAGATAGAAAGATATGATGTATTAACATTAGGATCAATGTAGCTGTTAGTTACAACTTATAAACTGTGTATAAAGAGTCTCTTCAGAAAGTGGTACCATATTTTTCAAAAAAGAAACATCTACTTTATATTACATCTTTATGGGCCTGGGTATGTGTAGACCCAGACACCAAGACAAGTCATGTGCTGGTTATTTGCCGTATGACCTGCTGTTGCCCTTTAACCTCTTCCCTTCAGCTCTTTTGGGGTTTTAGTACTAGTTGCCATAGTAACTGAACAACTAATAGGGTTGAGCTGTCATTGTAGGTGCGGGAATGGCAGTAATGCAGTGAGGTCCTGTCTGGATTTATTGCTTTGCTACATTATGCGTTATTTTGGGTTCTATTAACCAAAACCTAAGGAAGCAGGTTATTTCAGCTTGGGAACACAGCATGGCAAAGATCAAAAACATCAGCCAATAATTTCTATAATTTCTACATTCACAATTTTTTTAAGGTGTTTTTGTTTTTTCATCTCTATTGGATAAACTGACAGTGAAAATATACATGGTGAGAGAGAGAGAGGTATGACACGCAACAAAGATTGTCAACTGAAATTAAACCTGGGACACTGAAGCTATATATTGTGGGTATTAATCAACACACAATTAACTCAGCAAGAAGATCTACATTATTAGTTATGTTATGAAAACTATTACAGAACAGAAAATAATAATAATAATTATTATTATTATTTTTATTATTATTAGATTGATTTTAAGGGAATTAAAAGAATATTTGAGGTGTTTAAAAAAAAAACATATTTTATGCCTTGCATGTAGTTGTAGCATAAATGACTCAACAACAGGCAATAATGAAGTGATTTGAAGCCTTTTTTGTGCCTAAAACCAAACTGACTGAACCCAAGATTGACCAGGGCACTAAAAATGAAATACAGATGTTGATGAAATGACATGCTCCAGAGCGCAGGGTGAAAAGATATATCGCGTTGTGCCGTCATCCCTTAAATCTGCTCAGTTCCCTTCCAGACAGGCACATTCCTGGGGCCCACTGTGACTGTAGCCCTCATACAGATGGGCCTTGAGAGCCATCCTGTCAGAGCAGAAATGAGTCCAGATGGCTGGATCCTGCTGTGAGGGGCTGTGGATGGAGAGAGTAGTGGTCTGTGTGGCTCAGGCCAAGCCTGACTGGACCCCTTTTCACATGGAGGGCCCCTGGCGTTCCCTCAGTACCACCCCGAGGCTCTCGGGTTACGGCCAGGGCGAGGACATTCACATTGGTCCTGTTATTCTTAGCGAGTGTTAATCTGGTTGTATAGGGAGCAGTGTTCAGTGAAACGGTAATATTGATGGCTGGTCTGGTGGGAAAGTGATTTACATGACCTCATTACCGACCGATTGATTGATTGATTGACTGACTGCATATTTTCTCAGGGATCATCCCCACATGTAATGCAGCCATACACACAACAGCACAGTAAGGGCAGCAGTATATGAGAGCCAAGATGCTTTACTGTCACCAACTCTGCAGCCCCTGCAGGAGCCCTCAGCACCTTCATCGGCTCCTCACACCGTCTTCAGATCATATTCAGAGTCACATACTGAATCAAGCTGGCTCTGGTGTGACAGGCTCCAGGGCAGTTTATGTTCTCTGTGTGTACGCAGCAGTGGCAGAGAGAAAAGTGACTTTTCATGAGTAACAGAGGACACAGGACAGCAGACCACCTGGATTTGCTTGCGGAAATCTGTCTCCTGTTTCAGAACACTTATAGTGTCCCAAGATACTTTTCTCCGTGTTATTCTATATCTTGTTCTGGCATTGAGGTCTGGAGGGGAGTAGTTATATGCTTTGTGTTGATAGAGTTACTGGGAATGAATACAGTAGGAATGTGTCTTCGGAGTATTTGTTTCACTACACTTGTTGTTTAGAAGATTTCAAAGATCAATTATATTTTCAAACCATACATGTTTGTGTCCAGAGCACTGAAGTAACAGATTTTGAGTTGGGATTGTTTTGTCAAATTATATCCATCGTCAGTAATGAACGTGCATGCGCAACCTTCTACCGACAGGAAGTGCTATGAATGAATGTTAACAGCTACTGAGCTCATATGCCAACACATCCATCTCTATGACAACTGAACAAACTGATGAAGCCTGTCATATAGTTAAATAGTCTGGAAAAAGGCTGGGAGTGGACTTTGAGTTGTGATTTTCTGTTATGGAATTAAAAGAGAACAGAAGAGCTTTAAAGTCTGCAAGAGGCAATTTGGTTTATAGGCATCAAAGTCATCAAATGAACAATGAATACAAAACAAGAAACAAACAAACAAACAAAAATGTTGACATCACTGCGATTTTTGTCATTGTCAGTAATCACCAAAGCCACAGGAAGGAAAGTACAAGGAAATCAAAGAATCAAACTGGATTATTACTATTACTGATGCCTCAATGTGTAAGTTATGTTTTACAGCTGGGTTTAGGTGGAGCTGATTTTAACCATTTTATATTGTGTTTGGTGGTTTAAAATTTCTTTCTCTAAGTACGTATTCAAATTCAAGCAGGTGATATGTTTTTTATCTAAAAATGGAAACTGCAAACAAACAAATAACTCTGGATGCCAAATAAATGTAGTGGATTGAAAAATACAATATTTGCTTGTGGAAAAGTAGAGG